AAGGCTCCAGTGGCAGGGTCCGCATGCGTCAACGCCACCCAGGACAGCGCTTCGCGGCCCCAGGGGGAACTCCACCGAAGGCTCCAGTGGCAGGGTCCGCATGCGTCACCGCCACCCTGGACAGCGCTTCGTGGCCCGATAGGGAGCTCCACCGAAGGCCACAGTGGCAGGGTCCGCATGCGGGAACGCCAACCATTTCGGCACACCCCTTACACGGTTCGTGGCCCCAAAGGGAGCTCCACCGAAGGCTCCAGTGGCAGGGTCCGCATGCGGGAACGCCACCCAGAACAGCATTTCGTGGCCCCATAGGGGACTCCACCGAAGGCTCCAGTGGCAGGGTCCGCATGCGGGAACGCCACCCTTTTCGGCACACCCCTTACACGGTTCGTGGCCCCAAAGGGAGCCCCGCCGAATGCTCCAGTGGCAGGGTCCGCATGTGGAAACGCCACCCAGAACAGCATTTCGTGGCCCCATAGGGAACTCCACCGAAGGCTCCAATGGCAGGGTCCGCTTGCGTCAACGTCACCCAGGACAGCGTTCCGTGGCCCCACAGGGAACCCCACAGGGAACCCCACCGAAGGCTCCAGTGGCAGGGTCCGCATGCGTCACCGCCACCCAGGACAGCGCTTCGTGGCCCCACAAGAGCCCCACCGAAGGCTCCAGTGGCAGGGTCCGCATGCGGGAACGCGCACACCCCTCGCACGGTTCGTAGCCCCACACGGAATTCCGCATGCGTCACCGCCACCCATGACAGCGCTTCGTGGCTCTATAGGGAGCTCCACCGGAGGCCCCAGCGGCGGTGCCCACATGCGTCTTCCCCACCCATGACAGCGCTTCGTGGCCCCAAGGGGAGCCCCACCGAAGGCTCCAGTGGCAGGGTCCGCATGCGTCACCGCCACCCACGACAGCGTTTCGTGGCAGGAGCTCCACCGAGGGTCCCAGTGGCGCCGTTCGCATGCGTTTCCTCCGCCAAGGACAGCTTTTCGCGGCCCTATAGGGAGCTCCACCGAAGGCGTCGGTGGCGCAGTTCGCATGCGTCTCCCCCGCCCATGACAGCTTGTCGTGGCCCCACAGGGAGCTCCAGCGAAGATCCCGATGGCGCAGTTCGCATGCGTCCCCCCCACCCACGACAACGATTCGTGGCCCCACAGGAAGCCACACCGAAGGTTCCAGTGGCAGGTTCCGCATGCGTCACCGCCACCCAGGACAGCGCTTCGTGGCCCCATAGGGAGCTCCAGCGAAGGTGCCGATCGCGCAGTTCGCATGCGCCCCCCCCACCCACGACAGCGCTTCGTGGCCCCATAGGGAGCTCCACCGAAAGCCCCTGTGGCACCGTTTGCATGCGTCTCCCCCACCCAGGACAGCGATTCGTGGCCCCATAGGGAGCCCCACCGAACGCTCCACTGGCAGGGTCCGCGTGCGTCACCGCCACCCAGGACACCGCTTCGTGGCCCCATAGGGAGCTCCACCGAGGGTCCCCAGTGGCGCCGTTCGTATTCGTCGCCCCCACCCACGACAGCGCTTCGTGGCCCCAGAGGGAACTCCATCCAAGGCGTCCGTGGCGCAGTTCGCATGCGTTTCCCCCGCCCATGACAGCTCTTCGTGGCCCCCTTGGGAGCTCCAGCGAAGGTTTCGATGGCGCAGGTCGCATGCGTCCCCCCCACCCAGGACAGCGATTCGTGGCCCCACAGGGAGCCCCACCGAAGGTTCCAGTGGCAGGTTCCGCATGCGTCACCGCCACCCAGGACAGCGCTTCGTGGCCCCATAGGGAGCTCCAGCGAAGGTGCCGATGGCGCAGTTCGCATGCGCTTCCCCCACCCAGGACAGCGTTTCGTGGCCCCATAAGGAGCTCCAGCGAAGGTCCCGATGGCGCAGGTCGCATGCGTCTCCCCCCACCCAGGACAGCGATTCGTGGCCCCACAGGGAGCCCCACCGAAGGCTCCAGTGGCAGGGCCCGCATGCGACACCGCCACCTATGACAGCGTTTCGTGGCCTTTTGGGGCGCTCCACGGGAGGCCCCGGCGGCGGTGTCCACATGCGTCTCCCCCACCCAGGACAGCGCTTCGTGGCCCCATCGGGAACTGCACCGAAGGCCCCGGCGGCACCGTTCGCATGCGTTTCCCCCACCCAGGACAGCGCTCTGTGGCCCCACAGGGAACTCCACCGAAAGCCCCGGTGGCACCGTTCGCATGCGTCCCCCCCACCCAGGACAGCGCTGTGTGGCTTCACACGGAGCCCCACCGAACGCTCCACTGGCAGGGTCCGCGTGCGTCACCGCCACCCAGGACACCGCTTCGTGGCCCCATAGGGAACTCCACCGAAGTCGTCAGTGGCGCAGTTCGCATGGGTTACCCCCGCCCATGCAAGCTCTTCGTGGCCCCATAGGGAGCTCCAGCAAAGGTCCCGATGGCGCAGCTCGCATGCGTCTCCCCCACCCACGACGGCGTTTCCTGGCCCCATAGGGAGCTCCACCGAAGGCCTTATCGGCGGTGTCCACATGCGCCCCCCCTTCCCAGGACCGCGCTTCGTGGCCCCAGAAGGAGCTCGACCGAAAACCCAAGTGGCACCGTGCGCATGCGTCACCCCCACCCAGGACAGCGCTCTGTGGCCCCACAGGGATCCCCACCGAAGGCTCCAATGGCAGGGTCCGCGTGCGTCACCGCCACCCAGGACAGCGCATCGTGACCCCATAGGGAGCTTTAGCGAAGGTGCCGATGGCGCAGTTCGCATGCGCCCCCCCCACCCAGGACAGCGCTTCGTATCCCCATAAGGAACTCCAGCAAAGGTTCCAGCGGCGGTGCCCACATGCGTCACCGCCACCCAGGACAGCGTTTCGTGGCCCCACAGGGAGCTCCACCGAAAACCCAACTGGCACCGTGCGCATGCGCCCCCCCCACCCAGGACAGCGACTCGTGGCCCCACAGGAACCCCACCGAAGGCTCCAGTGGCAGGGTCCGCATGCGTCACCGCCACCCAGGACAGCGCTTCATGGCCCCATAGGGAGCTCGACCGAGGGTCCCAATGGCGCCGTTCGCATGCGTCTCTCCCCACCCGAGACAGCGTTTCGTGGCCCCACAGGGAGCTCCACCGAAGGCGTCAGTGACGCAGTTCGCATGCGTCTCCCCCGCCCATGACAGCTGTTCGTGGCCCCATAGAGAGTTCCAGCGAAGGTCCCGATGGCGCAGGTCGCATGCGCCCCCCCCACCCAGGACAGCGCTTCGTGGCCTTATAGGGAGCTCCACCGAAGGCCCCAGCGGCGGTGTCCACATGCGTCCGCGCCACTGATTTCGGCGCACCCCTCCCACGCTTCGGGGCCCTGCAGGGAGCTCCACCGAAACCGGTACCCACACTGCGGTATTCGCAGCTGCGTGTGGTTGGGTCCTTCGTCGGGCTAATTTCTTTCTGCCTTCGTCCGCCGGCAAAAGACTGCTGTGGGGGGGCGCCAGTCTGGAAGGCGCGCCTCGCGGCTGGTGTTGCTGAGCTCGGCCTCTCGTCCCTCTCCTTCTCCCCCTCCTGCTCATCCTCGTCCCACCGCTCCCCTCCTGTGTCCCCCTCCTCTTCCCCCCCTGCTTTGCTCCTCCCCCTTCATTCTCCTCAGTTCCTCCGCGCTCCCACCCGTCCTCCTCTCTCTCCTCGCCCCCCCTCCTCCTCCTCCTCCTCCTCCTCCTCCTCCTCCTCCTCCTCCTCCTCCTCCTCCTCCTCCTCCTCCTCCTCCTCAGCTTCTCTGCCCCCCCTCCTCCTCGTTTCTCGTTTCTCGTTTCGCGTCTCAAGTCGGGCGCCCGGGCAAGTAGTGGTTCCAGGGTCTCTCACCCACCGGCCCTGGTCAGGTTGCCCCCGCGCACCGCGCGGGCATACAGAAGCAAATGCGTCAATAAAGACAAGTGTGTAAGTAAATAGGTAAATTGATAATAAGTCAATCAATACATGAACACCCTACCGCCTGTTCGGATACAAATAAATTCGTACCGCGCGTAGGCGTACGTGCGCGTAGGCGTACGTACACCCAGATCCGCAGAAGAAATGAAAGGGTGGCCCGTGACGCTGAATGGCCGGTTGGCAAGGCATCGCCCTGGCACCTGTCACCACAGCGGCAATCGACCCCTCGCAGCTGCTGTTCCACCTCTGACCCCTGCCCAGCAGCAGCGCCCACAGATCAGCCTCCCCCACTAGGCAGCAGCGTCGTGCGCCCCATGCTGCCCAGCAGAGCACGCCCCACATACTGAACGTGCGCGGCCCCGAGGCCTGGCCCGAACAGCGCCCTCACCAGCTCTGGCTGCGACCCGCGCGGCATCGCGCCGACAACCCTTCCCAGCTCGCAGAACAGCGCGAGGGCGCCCTCACACGCGCACAAGGCACGGGAGACGGCTGCCAAGCAGCTCCCGCAAGCCCTGCACCCACCTCTCCTAGCTCCCACGGCACGTCGCCCCCCAACCCACCTGCAGAGGCCAGCGGCCGTTGAAGCGGCATACCGCCCACGTGCGGCGCACGAGGGGGGCGGAGGAGGAGGAGGAGGAGGAGGAGGAGGAGGAGGAGGAGGAGGAGGACCAGCTGCGCCCGAGGCTGCGGCTGCGTGACTGGCTGGAGCTCGTGGAACGTCACGCCCAGCGACGGGCGTGCCTTTGTCCGCGGCCGCGTCGGAAGCCGCCCGGTCGTATCACCTCAGCGCCGGCCGCACCACCTCCCACCGATATCGTATCAGCACCGCCTTGCGCTCGGCGGCGGAGGTGGCGGCGGCCTCCACATCCCCCATCAGCCCCTCCACCTTCAGATGTCTGGCTGGCCCACGGGCAGGTCGGCTATCCGCTGGCCCACCAGCTGCCGCCCCGTGTGCGCGGTCGAGCTCCGCGCCGCTTCCCGCAGGAGCGTTGCCGGGAGCCCTTGCGGCAGGACCCACAACCGCGCGCGCGCCACGAATGCCTGTTCCAACATGCGTGTTTCGAGGCAGACCTCCCAACCGCACTGCGCCCGGCACAGCGCCCACTTCAGCCTAGGACCCCTCCTGCAGCCTAAAGCAACTCGCGCCCAATGGCTGGAGCTGGTTGACGCCAGTCTCAGTGCCCTGGAACCAACATCGCCGCGCTACATATACAGCACCCCCAGCTCCACACGCAGCGGGACCTGCGCGGCCACGACAGGGCGTGGGAACTCCCCTGCATCACACGCCTGGAAGCACTCCTCTGGCCAGCACCTCCCGCGAGCACGGCACGAACATGAGGTCGGAGTCCACCTTGATCCGCACGACTGGGTGACAAGTCACCTCGTGGAACCCCCAGCCCTCCGTGTGGAGCGCCGGGCTCCCGCTGATTGCCATGCACTCTGATTTGCCTGGTCCGAAGTTGAGGGCCGCCTTCTCCTGGAGGGCGTGCCGCACGGATGCGGACCGCCTTGGAGGAATGCCCAAAAATAATTTAAGAAATGGTCTGGGGACTATTTTTTATTATTTTTTGGGGTATTTCTTCTGGTGTTCTATATTTTCGTCGAAAATCGGCCTGTAGGGGGACATGCCCGACCTGAGCGCAGAGCTGCTGGGCTTCCACGGAGCGCGCCCCGCGCCCACCGGCAGACGCGCCCCCCCCCGCAGCCTCTCCAGGAGCGGCCTCCGCCTGGTCGCCCTTTCGAGGCCCGCAGCACACAGCGCGCGAACACGCCGGGCGCACGGAGCTGGCGCCCCTGTCGGGTGTGGCTAGAAGTAAGTGCGCCTGGCCCAAGGTGCCCCGCAGCGTTTCGCTCCCGTCGGAGCCCCTGGGGCCCCCTGGGCCTCGTGAGGGGCCTCCCTGGAAAGCCTGGGGGCCTCCCTGGAAAGCCTGGGGGCACCCTGGGCCAGGGGCACTTCTAGCAACAGCCGACCCTGGGCGGTGCGCCCCAGGCGAGCACGAACACCTCCGACAGCAGGCCGTGGAGTGCCAAGGCCTGCTTCTCTTGCGCCAGGATGTCGCCGCGAAGTAGACATCGGGGGCCCAAAAATACACAACACCACCACCTCCCTCCCCCCCTTCCCTCTCGCTGGAGAGAGGTGGTGTTTATTCTTTGGGCCCCCAGAGTCCCGCCCGCTCACATCCGCCCTGCGCACACTCAAGAGCATGCCAGCGTGCCCCGCCGCGTCGAAACCCCAGTTTGGGTCCGACACCGCGTCGAAACCCCACTCCTCACCCTCCTCCGACGACGACGCCGCCGCCGCCTTCGCCGCCGCCGACGCCGACGACGCCGACGCCGACGACGCCGACGCCGCCGCCGACGACGCTGACAAGGCCGCCGACGCCGCCGACGACGACGACGCCGCCTGCGCTCGGCGCTCTCCCAGGGGCACTCCAGGCCGCCAGTCGCCGCGCCCCGCCAGTGGGCCCCCCCGCGGGGCGCGGCCGCAGGTGTCCACCGATCTGTTCGGCCGCGGCATCGACATCGAGAGGCGCGGGCTGGCGAGCGCGTCCACGACGCCGACGACGGCGACGACGACGACGACGCCTCCTCCTCGTTTTCCCCCCGCCTCCTCCTCCTCCTCCTCCTCCTCCTCCTCCTCCTCTCCTCCTCCTCTTCCTCCTCCTCCTCCTCCTCCTCCTCCTCCTCTCCATCCTCCTCCTCCTCTCCTCCTCCTCCCTCTCCTCCCTCCTCCTCTCCTCCTCCTCCTCGTCTCCCTCGCCTCCCGATCCGTGGGTCCCCCCCGCCTCCCCTCGCCCTCTCCGTCTGCGCCCGTGCCCTCCCCCTCGTCCGCCTCTCCCCGTTCCCGCCCTCCTCCCCGGCCTCGTCTCGCCCCCCGCCTCTCCTCCGCGTCTCTCCGCCTCCTCCTCGGTTTTCCTCCCCGCCCTCACTCTCCTCCTCCTTTTCTCCTCCTCCTCCCCTCCTCCTCCTTTTCTCCTCCCTCCTCCTCATCCTCATCATAATCCTCATCCTCATCCTCATCCTCATCCTCATCCGCATCCTCCTCCCACTCCTCCTCCTCCGCCTCCTCTTTCCTCTCCTCCTCCCTCTCTCCTCCTCCTCAACCTCCTCCTCCTCCTCCTCCTCCTCCTCCCCCTCCTCCCCTTTTTCATCCCTCCTCCTCCTCCTCCTCCTCCTCCTCCTCCTCCTCCCTCCCCCCCTCGTCTCCTCCCCTCCCCAATCCGTGGGTCCCCCCGTCTCCTCCTCGCCTCCCCGCCGGTCCCCCGCGCCTTTCCCTCGTCCTCGCCTCTCCTCTTCTTCCCTCCTCCTCCCCCTCGCTCTTCCTGCCCACCCCGCCGCCGTGCCTGTGCCGTGGACGATAGGTCTCTCTTGCATGCTTCTCGGGGGGCTTCTTCTGGGGGCCTCCTGGAGGCCTCTTCGGAGCCTCCGGGGTCGATGGGGGAGCCCAGGGGACCTCGAATCCAAGGCGGGAATCTGTCCATAACCGTCGTCTGGGGGAGCGATCTTCGGGGACCTCGGCAGGCGCTGGATATGGACATACTTGGGCCCCCTGGGGCCCACGCATGTCCATATCCACCGCCCGCTGGGGTCCCAGGAGGCTGGTTCCCCAGGCGGTGGATGTGGACATGGCCCCGCCTCGCATCAGAACGCTACGTACGCGTCCGTGCGAACGGCGCAGCGGCGGTTTCTCCCTCTGCCTCGTTTTGCTTGCCCCTTACTTCAGGCGATCGCAAACATGGACCAAGTGGGCGTGGATTGGCGACGGGTCCCGTTTCCATGGGAGATCCGTGATTTCCGCCGCCGAACGAGGCGGCACTGGCCGCATTTGGGGGAGGGCACCTCCCCCGATCCATGTCTGCGCGCCCCCGATTACGTCTGGTCGTAAGAGCGACGCTGGGAAGCAGTGAGGTCTTGCCCTCTCTTGTGCGAGACCCGACGGCCCTTCCAGAGCGCACTACCACTGCTGTTCATGAGGCTCGCATGCGCGTCGCTGAGGCGAGAGCCGCAGTTTTGTCCACGGCCCGCCCACGGCCCACCTCCCTTCGGAGTGAATAACAGCCACGACGCGCGTGTTTCGGCAGACTGCGGCTTCTGGGGGGTCCTCCCCGTGCGCCAGGGCCGCCAAAAAGCGGCTCGGGATGCCAACCGGTCCTGGGGTTACGTCGGGCCTGTCCCTCTACGGGGGGAAAATTCAGAAATAGTCAAAAAATAGTCCGGGGACGATTTTCACTATTTTACCTAACAGCGAAGACTGATAGGTTTCTAGTGGGGTCAAAAGAGAGCAGCAGATGACTCCACAGGGGGGTCCGGGCGGCATCCGGGGAGCTGGGTCCGAACTCGTTTTTCGCAAACAGTCACACACTTCGTGCTCTTCGACCTCCCAGAACTCCATTCCCGGGCCACATTCTGAATGCCCGGAGCCAACTGTAGGCCACTTCGTGCTCTTCGACTTCCCAGAACTCCATTCCCGGGCCACATTTTGGATGCCCGGAGCCAACTGTAGGCCACTTCGTGCTCTTCGACTTCCCAGAACTCCATTCCCGGGCCACATTTTGGATGCCCGGAGCCCACTGTAGGCCACTTCGTGCTCTTCGAGTTCCCAGAACTCCATTCCCGGGCCACATTTTGAATGCCCGGAGCCAACTGTAGACCACTTCGTTCTCTTCGAGTTCCCAGAACTCCACTCCCGGGCCACATTTTGAATTCCCGGAGCCAACTGTAGGATAACCGCATGCCGATGAGAATAAAGTACCCCCTCCCCCCCTTAAGTCGTTAGAGTTTTTTATCGTCGACCAATAAGAGTTTGGTCGGGGGCGCGGGGGCGCGGAGGCCGAACTTCATTATCACGGGAAAAGTTCGCCATCGAAGTTACTTCCTTCTTATGTTGAGATAACAGCATCAAGCGAAGCGAACACGTTGTTTCAGGATGTCTCAAGCGAAACCAATGTCCTTCTGTCTATTTGTAGTTCTTTCTGTCTCTCTTTCTTTCTTTCTCTGTCTCTCTTTCTCTCTCTCTCTCTCTCTCTGTCTCTCTATCTCTTTCTCTTTCCTGGCCTCTCTGTCTCTCTGTCTCTGTCTCTCTATCTCTTTCTCCTCCTCCTCCCCCTGGCGCCCTGAACTTGTTCATCGCTGGGGCTGATTATCCAGGGAAAACGAGGCACGTGAGCTACCCTACACGAGCACTTAAAAAATTTAATGTTCATAAAGCGCTTGCACATAAAATGTTTCATACATTTGAATATTCAGTTTTTTTGTTTTATCCTCCTTTCCTCTTCTCTGTTTCCTTTTCATTTATTCTTCTACTTTTCTTTTTAAATATATATTCTCTCTTTAAGTCCTTCCTTTCTTTTTCTTTATGATGTATCTCTCTTTCTCTCTCTCTCTCTCTTTCTCTCTCTCTCTCTCTCTCCATGCCCCCCCTCTGAACTTTTTTATCCCTGGGGGTGATTATCCATGGAAAATGAAGCACATGAGCTACCCTACACGAGCACTAAAAAATGTTAATTTTCATAAAGCGCTTGTAAAAAAATCTAATACCTTTGAACTTGAGATTTTTCCTTCTCTTTCTCCTCCTCCTCTGTGTTCTTTTCTTTTTGATGTGTTTCCTTTTTCTTGTTCATTTATTATTGTTTCTACTTCTTTTTGTTTTTATATATCGCTTTCTCCATTCCTCCGCCCGCCTGAACTTTATTATCGCCGCGGTTGATTATCCAGGGACACCGAGGCGGATGAGCTATTACGAAGGATGTCTCAAGCGAAACAAGCATATACTCGAGGATGTCTCAAGCGAAACAAGCATATACTGAAGGATGTCTCAAGCGAAACGATGCGTTTCTTAAGCGAAATAAGCAGTAGTTTGACGGTGTCTCAAGCGAAATAAGCAATAGCTGTGGATGTCTCAGCGAAACAAGGGATGTGTCGAGGAATGTCTCCAGCGGAGATAAGCCATTGTTGAGGATATTTCTATGAAGACTAAAAGCCAAGGATGTCTCAAAACGTGCTCGGCTTGGTCTCCTCTTGATCATCTCTTACTTTGAGATTATGCTGAGGTCTGGTGGGCTACTTTGATTATCTCCCCCTGAACCCCGAACTTGATTATCCCCTAGTGTTTATTCTCGAAGGT